ACCCCTAACATTGGACTGACAGGAGAGCATCGCGCATGAAGCTGTTCTGCTCGACTCATGCTCAAGGGCCCTTTCTGGCGATCAGATCTCATGACACTCCATGTTTGTGTAATTAGAATTTATACAAAACATCACGATGACACCGACGGTGACGAAAATCCACCTGGAGTATATACCGCCTGGACAGAGTGGCTACCGCAGTTCGGAGACACCAGTGTGTTCATTCCTGGTTCTAGTGAATAAATTAATTATTCTTCACAGGAACACATTACTTCCAGGGTGAGTTTTAAGTGCTCCAGTAGAGGCCACAAGCTAAATAGTGGGATTGTTTTTCTTCTTCGTGTTCTGTTTTTGTTGTTGTTGTGATGGGCAAACCTAAATTATATTTCCCCTCTAGCTTTCCAGCGATGTATGCGCGACGTGTGTCGAAATGGAACTTACACGATCACAAACGGGCCGAGAAAACGCACACAGGCAAGAAAACAAAGCAAAAATCCATGCTAGATGCGGAAGAGACGGTGCACGCCCACACTGGTGTACATTATTGCGCCTCTGCCAAGAAACCCAAACATTTTCGCTTCATTTCCACGGAACATCACGTTGAAGGCCAGGGGTCTCGGTCCGCATGATTTGCGCGACATCACTTAGGCTTATATTCTCGGAAAGGCAGACGGTGTCGTTGTTATATATTTTTCCTGCAGTGCTCGTGTTGTTCGAGTGACGAAGGCTCTCGCCGCCACCACTACCACAAAGTTTTCTGGCACGAGTGCTCGTCGGCCCAGGCGCCGCTTTTGGGCATTGCGACGCGACTTCCACGACTAAAGACAAGAACCAGAAAGTGGAAGCAAACGGGGGGGGGGGGGGGGTGTTCAGGAGGGGGATTAGAAAGGGGGGGGGGACGCCCTTATTTTCTATTTCGCCAGCTTTGTTCTTGGAAGCCATATCAAGAAGCGACTGGCCGGCACGGACTGGCCCGGAGCCTGACTCTACGACGCCGAGAAGGGGGACCTACCGTTGTGACGACGTCGTAACTTTCACTTAGGCTGCCCTGTCTTCGGGACTTCAATTTTCAAAACGAGTTTTTTTCTCTTGCTTGCCGCTGTTTTCCTTTCGCTATGTTGCATGCTTCGCACGGCGACACCCCGGTGTGGGCCAACCCGTTCCCTACCCCTCGTCCCTTCCCCTCTTGCCGTCTTCCTCAAGGGAGGGGGGAGAGGGCTAGACGCTAGTAGTTCTTTTTTTGTTTCTCGTACATAGAAGACGCTTCGCACTGTAAGGCTCAGGACCATGCTTGTAGTCCCTCCTCGTTACATAATGGACGTGGCGCCCTCGTGGAACGCCGTACGTCTTTTACGCACTTTGAATCGTGTCCGTGCCTCTGCGCCGTACGACTTCTTATTTTACTGCGCTGTCACTCCAGTGGTGTACACGTACAAGGCCTTGGTTCACTCTGTCTTCTCACTTTCCCTGGCCCTTCACTCTCTCTCACTGTTCGTCACCCTCACTCTTTCTTTCCCGTATCTTCCCCACACCACTTCTCTCCTCTCTCTTGCATCTCACTTATTTTATTATTGCGAGTGCGGGCAAATGTTCCGAAGCCGTCGAGTTTGCCCGTCAACGTCATGGCCTTCTTGGCCTTGCGAGTCGCGTTCCCTGCTACCGGGCCCACGAAACTTTTTTTTCTTTTCGAGGTGCCCACGTTTTGTGTTTCTTCCATTCTTTCCCGACGTTTTCTGCTCTCCTTTCGTCCCACCACCGGCCAACTGTATAGCCGAGCAGGTTTTTTTTTCTTCTTATACGTGGAAGCCATTGTACGGAAGAAACTGGATGAAGCGAATAGGTTATGCGAAAAGCGCGGGATGGTCGTCAAGAGCGAGCCGCTCCGCGACTGATGCAGCCCGCGTTATTAGGTTGTCCGATCGCGTTCCAAAACACGCGCTCGCCTTCTGGGCGATAGACTACGCTTGCTCGGCCCACTTTCCCGATATTTTTCGTCAAACCTTTTCTTCCGAAGCGTGCACAGTCGTAGCCGCTCGCTTGTACAGGAAGTAAGGCACTTTACTATACACTATTGCGTGCTCGGATATGCGTGACTATCCGTGAATGAATTAGGCGGTGCGATGCGTGCGTCTCGGCGTTGACAGTGGAGGTCACGCGCGCTATCCGAACGCTACATTTCCGAAAGCCCTTGACGATAATGTCACGTCGACACTTATGTAAACTCTCCCCCCACCTCTCCCCTATCAACCCCCTCCCCATGTTTTGTTTTTCTAATAAATAAAAAAATAATGGTGGCTAAAACATCTGAAAAGGAGAGTGCGTGAGGACTGATGCAAGAAAGCGTTACTTAGCGGATGATACAAAATTCAGGATGCGAGAGCAAGAAACTGTGAACATGTCTGGGCTGCGGGTTGTAACACGCTCCACTCTTGCTGTATGCATGTGCACTTGGAAGTGCCATGAGGAGAAAAGAGAAATGGAGTCTCCGTAATGTTGAAAACGCTGATGGAAAGCGACGATAAACGGGGGCATTCATTGTACTTTGCGAACAGAACTGAGTGCACTTCAGAAGTTCCGACTTAAAGAAAGTACAGTGGGCAGCAGAGGCAGCATACGCGTGCATACACGGGCGATCGGGTAAGGCTTGCGCTAAATTGGGCCTCAAGTTTTTTCGGTCTACATTAAGAAAGCAGACAATAAGTTCCTGAAAAAATGAAGTAAAGAAACATAGAGCAGCGTACTGTAGGACTTCGTCTGCATGGGGCTGGTATAGCTGGGTCTTAATGCGCGTCTGCAGTTTATTATTCGATGACTTGGCACTCCTCGGTGCTTCTGAGGATGATTATAGTGTGGAGTACCAGTCTTGCCGTCTTATTCATTTTTTTTCGGTAGAACGAATCGCTGCAATGGCTGAATATGTAGGCCAGCCACGTGCCGCAAATGTCCTTTTTTTAATAAGCTCTCGATCGTTCGCAATCATAGGGAGAAACCGTGTAGTTCCACGGAAGGTTACGCAACACTTTTTTTTTCGTAAACAGTTCAATGACGCCCTCATCCTGAAATAGATGGGATCGCTTAAGCTGTGCCTGGAAAGTGTTGTCATTCATACTCCTCATATCGCACACACATATGGCTTCCGTATATGTGAATAGAGTGAGAGCTTGCATGAAAACTGAAATGCTAGAGCCATAAAATGAAAAAAAAAGTGGTAACACTCTCTATAGTATTTGAACGTATACCAAAGCAGCATAAGGTGATTGTCATAAATTGGTAGCAAATGAATTAAGTAAAAGAAAGGGAAGGGATGTTATCAAGAGGGAATTTTCCTGTTTGCGGTCTTGCACTGTTTAGACGGAAATGAAAAAAAGTTCCGTGCACATGCAGAAGGGTGTAGTATATACTTCTTGTGGATAGCGCATATCCTCCATGAGAATTTACAACATCGCTTTAAGATACTGTAATCGCAGAAGTTTTGTTTATCCAAGAAATTCTAAACTCAAAGAATATCTTGTTCCCAGTAAGCTGCATCGCTGCAGAGCAAAAATAATGAAAACAATAATTATAGGAAATTATAAGGAATGGTTCAAGGATAGATCTGCGAAAGGTCAGGGTGTCCTTGAATATATTGGGAAAGGAAAAAAATTTCGTGACTGGAAGTCGGTCTTATGCAGCTTGGCGAAAATGAGTTTAGGTGAACCGAACTGTCAATATAGTAGGCACGTAATATGAGAACGAAATTTGCACGCGGGTCAGAGCTATTATAGGCGAAACATTTTGAGGCACGGAGAGTGTGCATCGGAGATCAGAGGAGCTTAACCGATGTTCTATAAATTAATAAAATAATGAGTAGGGCGGGTGGTGTGATTCGTAATCAGTGGTCTATCGGACTGACGTCACGGAATATGAAGTGACCAGATCGCAGTATTTGAATGACATAAGATAAGGCTGCGTGCTTTACTTGGAAAACTTGCCGTAGAATGTTAGAATTAACTGAAGTTAGAAAGGAAGAAATTGTGCTAGTCGACGAATTTTTATGATGCTTAGGTGAGTGGTAAGTGGTTTGATTTGATTTGATATGTTGGGTTTAACGTCCCAAAACCACCATATGATTATGAGAAACGCCGTAGTGGAAGGCTCCGGAAATTTAGACCACCTGGGGTTCTTTAACGTGCGCCCAAATCTAAGCACACGGGCCTACATTATTTCCGCCTCCCTCGGAAAAGTGGTTGATATAGTGGTTTGAATGCAGGAAATATGCTGACTGCAGCCCATCATGGAGTCTGGTTCAGCATCGATGAATAAGGAGAAATGGGAGCCTATAGAACAGAAAATGATAGGCCATTTATTCATTATATTATAGATCTAAGCACATGAGCATCAATCTTTTCCGCCTCCGCCAAAAATGTGGCCGCTACGGCCGGGATTCGATCCCGCGACCTGCGGGTCGGCAGCCGAGTACCTTAGCCACTACACGACCGCTGTGGGGAATTCGATCCTGCGACCTGTGGGCCAGCATAACCACAAGATTACTGTAGCAGCTGACAGACTATTCTATTATACAGTTGTGGACAATCTTGAAAATAGCGCATTAAGAAAGAAAAAAAAAAAACAAGAACAAGAGAACAATGAAGGTCTTCCGGTCACTTCTTGTCCATCTCATTTTTTTATACGGTTTCCAATATGTTCAAACGCACTCTCCCTTCTTCTGGTCCTCTGTTTCAAAACGACAGCACGCAGGTCACATGCGCGCCCTTCTGTAACGTGCGTCTCGCATTCTCGTTGCATCGGCGCAGTTTGCCTAAATATGTCGTGTTTGGGCATCACCGGGAGATTATGTCCCTTAGCTGTGGGCGTGAATCGGAACAAAATGATGACTCATACTTTATAGCAGCGCTAAAGACAGCACCACGACGCAGAGAACACCACAAGACAGGGCACCGGCAAGACTGGCGGACACTGGCAGTTTTACATCTTCTTGGAAAATGATGGTGACCACGTACCTTTCTTTCCGGAGAGAAGTATGAGTGCGTCATCCTCCCTCCTCCACTTGATGACCGGTTCGGGGGTGCCCGTGGCTCGGCACCGCAGGGACACGTCGCTGTTCTCGCGCACCTCCACGTCAGAGCTCGTGTTCTCATCGTCGATCCTCGGAGGAACTGGGACAACAAAGTTAGAATGAGCCGCAGCGTCGATGGCGTCGTGGCGTGCGTCAGGCAACTATTGGTGCTTCCAGTGGCCCTATGCATCCTCATTGGGACGTGTAAGTCATGTCTAAAAGCGGAAAACTAGAGGACAAGACCAGTATTGTGCCACTATGTGATATACGTTTGATGTCAGCCACCTAAGTAATTATTGTTTGTATTCAACGTCCCAAAACCACGATAGATTAGGAAAGACGCCGTAGAGGAGGGCTTCTGAAATTTTCGCCACCTTGTGTTTGTTAAGCTGTATTACACGATGGGCGTGATCACGGACAAATCCGAGACGCAACATGCGTGTCACGTGATTCGGATCCCTCCGCAACCAGCAGTGACACGATAGGGGAGAATTCATGCTACAAGCGAGGATGTGGGCATTGCTCCCTGAGGATACCAACTATGATTTAGGCTTCCGTCGTTTCACGAACCGCTCCTCGCGGACCCGAAGCGGGAACGCGGAAACCGGTGACGTATGGTGACGCAGTACTCGATCCCTGGACTCTAATTGTAATTTCGTTCGTCGTGTGAACACAGCATTAAGGGGCACCTAAATCCAAGTAACATGAGCCTCGGGAGTTACACCACCATCGAAATGTGGCCGCCGCTGCCCCGAGTAGGCCCCGTGACATTCGATTCAGCAGTAGACCCCCATAGCTACTAGACCGCCGTAATGGGCAGCTATCAATCAAATCGACAAATTGTTTCGTTCAATCCGAGTCTTCGTGGCGACATTCTATCTACTTAAAGTTTGTCTACAAATCTACGACTTCTAAAGCAACCTCGCAGCCGTCTTTGGGTATTTAAAATCACAGATTCCAAAAGCATGCCTTCTCCTAAAGATAAGGAAATGAATCGTTTAATATACTGAACATGGCGTCCGCATTTTCGATGAAGGCAAAAATATTTGAGGCCCGTGTACATAGATTTAGTGAAATGTTCGAGAACCTCGGGTGATAAGACTTTTCTGGAGCTCTCGACTGCGGCGTCCCTCGTAATCACATCGGGGGTTTAGGGACGATAAAGACAGCAAATCATTATCAATTACAAGAGCCGCCTTTTCTTATACAACACATCGAATGGGGACGGGCACTCACCGACGACGTGCAGGTAGCCCATCATCTTCTTCATGGGGTTGGTGTTGATCTGGCACATGTACTCGCCGTGGTCCGCCTCTTCGACGTCGCGCACGTGCAGCTGCCACGTGCGGTGGCCGTTGTGTGCGATGTTGTACCGAGGGTTGGTCGTGATCAGGTTGTCGTGCATCGAGATCAGCATGTGGCGGTCCGTGTGTATCCAGGCGACCTGCGCGTAACACGAAATTTGGGAGCTTTCTTGTTTTCTTACATTCTTGTTTACCTTAGAAGCTGTTTCAATCAACCACTTACTTCCGGTTTGAGGAATATTTAAAAAAATAGTCTTCTAGAATACAACTGGTAGTAAACCAATCGTTCATGTTCTAGTTAAGAGTTGTATTAGATACATGTGAGGAATATTTAAAAAAATAGTCTTCTAGAATAGAACTGGTAGTAAACCAATCGTTCATGTTCTAGTTAAGAGTTTTATTAGATACATGTAATATCGGAGCGTAAGCTTACCTAAGATGCGTCAGCTGATTGTCAGGATAATAATTCGAAATCAACTCTAGAGTTCGGTCATTGAAGCAATGTCATTACCAGTGGCATAAAAATTGGAAATAGTCATAGAAAACAGCGTTAATGGCATAGAAAGTGGAAATCATGTTAATTTAAATCGGTGGAATATGTTCAGTTGAAAAGGAGACGTGCTTTCTAAGATCAGCTGGGATCGTGGCGGCACCTGGCGGAGAAATTATGAACTATGCGCTCATTTTGACGTGGCCTCTGAGATACGTTTCACCAAGACCTAATGAATTTATTATAATACACGAACGCCAACGCGTGAGTATCATTACCATATACTTATATGAAATAGATAGATAGATAGATAGATAGATAGATAGATAGATAGATAGATAGATACCGAAAATGCTCGCAGTACGCAAAGAGATGCTTCAGAGAGAGAGAGAGAGAGAGAGACAGAGAAGGAATGTAGGAAAGGTAGGGAGGTTAACTAGACTATGCGTCCAGTTTGCTACCCTACACAAGGGGAGAGGGAGAGAGGAGTAAAAGAAAGAGAGAAGGACAGACACATGTCCCATCACACACACAATGCCGAGTTTCACAGGCGGTCCCTCAATGAAGTTGCTGTCAAGTATTTCAGGAGGGCTCATGTGGCTTTCTGTGCTGATGTGCTGCGCGACCAGGCTCCTAAGATCTTTGCTTCATTAAATGGCCGGTCATCGAGTCTATTCAAGGCACACTGGAGAGTCCTGGCGATCTTCTTTAAATTGGGCACAGTGGCACAAGAGATGTTCAATAGTCTCTATACAGTTGCAGCTTTCACACTTGGATGAATCCGCCATGCCAATGCGATGGCTGAATGACTTAGTAAACGCTACCGCAGTCCACAGCCGCCACAGAATTGTAGCATCACGTCGAGAAATCTTGGATGGCAGTTGTTTCTGGAGTAATGACTTAAGATTCTTAGGGCGATGATTGGAGTTAGGTGGAGAACTCCAGTGCGCAAACGTGGTATTATGCGCGATGTGACGAAGTTCTCTAGCTGCGTCTACTTTTGACAAGGGTATTAACAGTGTGGGCGCTCCATCGTGGGCACATGGGGCAGCGTCGTCAGCGAGGTGGTTGCCACTGATGCCACAGTGGCCCGGCAACCATTTGTCACACATGTCCCGTTTATTAGGGAGGCAATCGCCGGGCTAATTCCAAGGGTCGAAGTATCGGCCCTCCGAACCGCACCACGAAAGCGTGGACAATTTAGAAGTGGTCCTTTTTGGCGCGCCAGCGGACGCCGGCTGTGGTCCAAAGAACAAGTCAGAGCCGAGAGTTGATAAACAAACAAAATTATATTCTCATTAACGGCAGATCAAAAACAATACACACGTATGCACACTCCACAATAGTTACATACAATACGTCACCAATCAAACAACGTACTACACAGTACAATCAGCCACACTCAAAACAACGGACATAGACAACGAACGATACGCTCTACAATGCAATCGCATGCATTGAATAACCAAGACACTTAAAGACTAAAAAGATAGAAACCTATCCAGCCCAAAGTTCTTGGAACAAAAGTCTGGATGATACTTTTCCGAGAATCACTCACTCAAAGTCCAGCGTTGTTGTCGTTCCGCGCCCTCGAAGTTTCTCTTCCAGGAAACCTCACGCCTTCAATTGGCCACTCTCCAAGCTTCAAACTTCTTCGCCCGAACACGTCGGCTTCACACACGCAGCTGTCGCCACGCGTCTTCGCTCGATAGTGGAAAACACACGCTCTTGCCTGTAGCTCGAGCCTTCACCCCTCAGGTGGAAATCCTCTTCATCTCCTGCTTCGTCCCTACGGACAACCTTCGCCGACTACACGGCGGTATACCCTACGCGCTCTTGCGCTAACTTCCGTCTCCTCCTGATCTCTCATCTCGGCTGCTCGGTTAAATACCTTGCGCGCGACATTCCAGACGGTTCTCGTCATTTCGTCGGCGCGATACGCAGCGAAGGCTGGGAAGAGGGCGAGACGGTTGGAATGCCTTCCGCGGCCGATGACTCAACTCGGTATGGCCACGCCCCTTTCGTTCTGGAACTTTCGCGGGCTATCTCGGCCGCCGATGTGGGGCGAGGAGGTTCGTCGGCGAAGCCACGCTTCCGAGGGGAGAGCGCGCGCCCCGGGGAGCCTTTAGATGTTTGTTTTCTTTTTTCTTTTGACCTCGCGGCGCCACTCCGGCGTTTCGTCGCGACAATTTGGCGGCGCACCCATTTTTAGCGCTCGTTCTGTGACACCATTGTAAAACAATGTCATGTCCTTGATCAGCAGCGCAATTACAAATTTCATTAATACGATACACCATCTGGTGGGAGTTTCCACGTCGTAGACTTCGCACGCATTGAATGACTGCCTTGGAGTCGCAGAAAATGGCCCATCTACTAGAGGATTCTTGCGTAACAAACTCCACACGGCTCGAAGAGCGGCGAGCTCGGATCCCGTTGATGTCTTCACATTAGCCATGTCACAATGCCCTCGCGTATGTTGTCATACCATTTCCACCAGACGTGCGGCAGATACCTGAGGGTGGGCATGTGCCACAGATATGCGGGTATGTGCCACCGATGATTTACATTTTGTATCTACCTAAGAATCACAAGAACAGACAGGGGTAATTTTAATGCGTGAGCGTTAAGAAAAAAAAGCTAACATTAGCAGCGTTGACCCGACCACTTCAAATAACAAATATCAAGGTCCCAGCAGGTATAGAACCTTAGAATTTTGCGTGCCACTCAATTATTCTACCAGGAGCCAGGCCAGGTCTCAGAACTACTACTTTTCAAAAAAACCCACTAATGTTAGTGAAACGTCCATTGTGGTTGCAGTGCTGCCTATCCAATTTTGGTAACATTACATATGTACTGCTATGATAAGCCGTCGGGTCGGGCTAATGTCAATAGTAGTTAAGTTCCATTCGCTGAAGTTGATTTGTGTAGCGGTGTGCAGGGGTATACTATCCTCGTGAACACCGGCGCTTCATATTAGCCTTACGACTTCTTGTGTTGTTAATATCGATGTTTTTCTCGGCATCGTCATGCAACCAGAAACAACTGCTTATATAAAACATATGCGGTTGTTTAACATATGTCTTTGCATTTATTTTTACATGTAATTAGTGCAACTTCGTAACGTATTGCTAATTTGGAAAAAAAATACAAGACAGTCATTTTCCATCTGCGTGCTTCGCATAACATCGATTCTCAAGCTATGGGGGATCTGCGGAATTTTTAATATTATATTTCGTTTGAGCCGCATCATTTCCCGGAAGTGAACTTATCAGGAACCATCTATAGCTAGTCATACGCTCACTATCTTTATGCCAAATAACATGACCACTGCAGACACCTTCGTAAGAATGTCTGCGAGAAATGCGGATTGCATTCATTGACCAATGTTCATGCTTTGTTTGCATCACACACGGTTCGCCTTTAAAAAAAGTCATGTTACGTTTCATTAAAAATAAAGGCCTAATTTGTCCGCGGAACAACCAGGGTCGATGATTCTGAAAGCCTTTGCGTTTAGCCCAACTATTGACCACCGGAGATTTTGCCTGTTTTCTCTTATGCTTTTTATGACATCTAACTATACATTTACTGGTCTACTGCGTTTTCTCTATGGTTGTCGAAGTACGCATAGAGTGTTTGTTTTTACGCCACATGATTTATTATTATTATTCTCTCCCTAACAGCACTTATTGCGCGTCGATTGTTTAGTAACAAATTTTGAAATACTACCTTCGATCACTGTGGTTATGCGCGTGGTGCAAACGACAGATCTGTAGTCTTGCGAAACATGATTGATTGATATGTGGGGTTTAACGTACCAAAACCACCATATGATTATGAGAGACGCTGTAGTGGAGGGCTCCGGAAATTTCGACCACCTGGGGTTCTTTAACGTGCACCCAAATCTGAGCACACGGGCCTACAACATTTCCGCCTCCATCGGAAATGCAGCCGCCGCAGCCGGGATTCGAACCCGCGCCCTGCGGGTCAGCAGCCGAGTACCTTAACCACTAGACCACCGCGGCGGGGCAGTCTTGCGAAACATGTGGACACAACTTTAAGTCTGTGAATCGGATTCTCTTTACGGGATAAAAGAAAGAACTTTTTTTTTGTCATTCAGTAAAACTACCACGATGCAGACAATTGATTTGCGATGTCAATCGCGCTTCACTGCCGCCACACTGTGCGGCCCTTCCGTAACAAGTGTGCGAACATTTTCGAATTACCGTGCATGAACTTATCAGGCGAGTTCTCGTACGTTACGAAACGCTGTGTTGTTCGATAAGATGACTACACCGGCCTGTTTAATCATTGAAATGCAAAGGAATACCAGTTCACGCCGTGTACCACGTTTTTGTGTCTGTGAAGTTCCTCTCTGTCCTCTCTCTTTGCGATTTGGATGAAGCCACGTGAATGGTCCACGACATGTTGTCTGGTATCATTAAATACCCCGGAAGCATCGCTTTGAGAAGGATATGAAATGATCCTTTTTCTCAGAGATGAGGAAACAGCCGTTTAATCTTGAACACGAAAGATAATCTCGGAAACTTCATTTTTCGGGCGTTTTCCTATGGTATTAGAACTACCGCCTGACAGTCGGAAAGAAGCCAGCCTTATTTCCATTACAAGACCTTGTAATTGAGATCTATCGCC